ATTTCTAAAACAAATGCCTCTTTCTGGAACAGATGTCTGCTGATACTTAGAAACCATACACTGGGGAATTCTTTAGGAGGGTGTGTAGGAGGAATGAGTCTTGGATGCCTACTTTAAGATAAGGGTTCTGTTCTTTACAAGTGTGATTTGTAATTGTTTTCTATGGTTTTATACCATCTTTCTTCTAAGTAATGGGAGACAGTATATAGTACATTCCCTCCTCACATTATATCTTCATAACCCTGTGGGGAATGTTTGTCTGGTCTGGCACCCATTGAGCCTTGTTGCTAAAGGTGGGGATGTGTGTAACTCATGACTTAGGCAGTGTACCATCCTGCCTCTGTCTGTGTCATATCACATGAAACTTCCCACAAAAAAATGGCTAAAACCTATTTCCATGTTGCAGCTGTCCTTATGTGGCATACCATTTTTGTGCAATCGCTGGAACTGTGCAGCAACCACTGTATGCAAACAATGTGCTGTGAAGAGTTGTTACCACATATGTACATATCCACAGAGCCTGTACTTGACATCTCTTCTGAGTGGAGTGGGTTACTGATGCTTGTATTTTTCTGATGTACTGTAATCAGTTGACTGATTCGAAATAAGAAAACATCTAAAAACCATTGTATTCTATTTTTCCTGGAAGCTTTGAAGGAAATTCTGCAGAGTATTGTGGTTTGGTACCATCTCATGATTTGGAGAAGTGACTAGTGTGCATCCATCTAGAGAGACAAGTCTGATTTTTTTTCTGGAAAGCCTGCCTTCAAACCTTGTATGTATCTGCTAGTTCCTGCAACACAGTGTCTATTAGTGTACTTTCAACAAAATGGTCAGTAGGAAAGTAGAAAACATGTCTCTTTTAAAAATGAAATCTGCTATTTACATGCTAGGACTGAGGCACTAGTCATTTGACACTGGAAAAAATGGCCTAATTCCTGTGTTGTAGATACATAGCATAAACCAGGGGTAGGCAACCTAAGGCCCGGGGGCCGGATGCAGCCCCGCGAGGCCTTTGGACCGGCCCCAAGCTGGTCCTGCCGCCGCCGCCGCTGCCCGCCATGATGATATTGGTTATTGTTGTTGTTACTTGTTCTTGGGGTTTTCTTGGCAAAATCTCCACAAGGGTTTTGCCATGGCTTTTCTGGGACTGAGAGAGTGTGCATGCATATTTTTAAAATTTTATTTATTTATTTATTTATGGTGCTTCGGCCCCCCCAATTGTCTGACTGACAGCAACCCGGCCCCTGGCTCAAAAAGGTTGCCTACCCCTGGCATAAACATTTGGCAGGCAGAACTATGCCACATCTGTCTCTCCATGCATCATACTGAAGGCATCTTTTGGGAGTTCCCAGGCCTGCTCTGGAGGTCTAGAGGATGATGTTACTGTTGTGTAACTGGCTGCAGGACTTTCAGGTGCTTCTCAGAAGTCACCTGCTTTCTACTAGTTACTCTGTGGTCATGTTGAGGGCAGGCAGCATGAAAAAGGTGAGTTTACAAGTACAAAGGTTTTGTTCAGTGTGTTCAAGAAGATAGATGATTCTGACTTCTGCAACACCCAAAAACTTGGGTGGACTTACATCTGTGTGACTCATTAACAGGATGCCAGTTGATATATAGTGAATTGACTACAGTCATATATTTTGATGCCAAGACTATCCTTGCGTGGGTAGCTTTCTTCTACACTGTCATTTTAAGATTGTTAAAATGCCTTCCACAACCTCCATATTTACTGGACTCATGGTATGTGATGTGGGACTTGCTATTTGCCTCTGTGCCTTCAGCAATAGTAGGGAAAATACTGCACTGTACATGACTATGTGTGCATAGAACTAGGAATCTGATCCTTCTTCATATATTCAGTAAATACATGGATATTTGCATTAACATCATCTGAGAACAAATGCCATGGACTGCCACCTTGCTTCCTAATCCTATAGAAGTCTGGACGTGTACTCTTAGGATGAGATCTGGACCTTCCCTGCTCTGATCATTATCATAATCACATCTTAAAGCATGACTTACCTGCCTTTTATAGCTGCAGCAGCCAAGATCCAGTTGTGTATTTTCCCTGTATCCTGCTACTGCTTTCAACAGAATCAGGAGGGGAATCTCTCCTCCCCAGCTGCCTCTCATGCTGTTGCCCCTTGTATGCCCTAGCAACCCACACTGGAGGGCTACCTATGTGCTTATTGTTTAATATCATGTTGAATTTGGGGCTGTTACTTAAAATAAAACCTGAGAACAACAGTTGAGTCAGTATTATTAATGGACATTTAAATGTTTAACATTGGAGACTGGAATAATTGGTTATAATAATTTGGATTTTAGTTGTGGTTTGTTAAATCATTGTTATGCTACATAGCCTTTGTAAGTCTTCAGTTGTACTAAGTGAATAATTTAAGTCCTTTACCTTTTTTATTATACTAGTCAATTCATGGTTTGGATTACTTGGAGAACTGAGACAAATGAGTAACTTGCTGTTACAGTTCAAAAGTTCACATTTAAGCTAAGACAACACAGAATGCCTAAAATTCAAATTAATTGTCATTTCAGAGATCCTGCTGTTGTAGTTGTGCAGTATTTCATCACAGGTTTTTATTCTTTTACAATTCTCACCTTTGTCATTTATCTATTTAATGCCCTCATTGAGAGATCTCACACAACCATTAGAAGAAGCATCTTGGGGCTATTTATAAATTAATAGTTGCTTGACTTTTCTTTTTGAGAGTCTCATTCAATGTAAATCTCTTTCAGTGCTCTATTCTCCCTTCCAAAGGAAGGAAAGGAGGCCTGAAGGAAACCAGTTTGGCAACTTGAACTACTGTAGTTTCTTTTCACCCATTTCTGGAAACTTTATGCTTAATTTTGTTTTAAGGAGCGTGGGAGGGATGTGGGTGGAGGGATTGAGATTGGATTGTCTCTTAACTATTGTATTTTAATTGTTGTAAGCCGCCCCGATTGCTACGCAGAGGGGCGGATTATAAATAAAACTTATTATTATTATTATTATTATTATTATTATTATATTCAGCAAAATCACTTGACTTTTTTCACTCAGCACCATTGGTAGCCTGGTGAGCTAGGTCAAACACGATATTTTCTCACAATGTAATATTTTGCTATCTGTCTGCTAATACAGATTGAATCTTCCTTATCCGAAATGCTTGTTACCAGAAGTGTTTTGGATTTTGGAATACCTGTATTTGCATATACATACATACATAATGGGATATCTTGCAGATGGGACCCAAGTCTAAGCACAAAATTCTTTTATATATACCTTATACACATAGCCTGAAGGTAATTTTATACACAATATATTTAATAATTTTGTGCAAGAAACGAAGTTGGTGTATACTTGAACCATCAGAATGCAATGGTGTAACTGCCTCAGCCACCCATGAAATTTTGGTGGTGTTTTTGTTGTTGTTGTTGTTGTTTGTTTGTTTTTTGATTTTGGAAGAAGGAGACTCAACCTGTATCTTTGGCCTCATTCCCATTATGATTCAAAGCAAATTGCTGATTGGGTTATATGACTGTTGTTCCCACTTGAAACTGATTCCAATCTTATTGAGCTCGGTTGTAATCACGATGAAGCGAGACAACGCAACAAACCTGCTGTTTCCTGACACTAGTTTTTTGGCGG